TAAGACTTTACAATGAAGAAGAACAATTGAGAGCCACAAGTACCATCCCCCCCCCCCCCCCCCCAATCTGCAGACCCTCCAAGACCGCCAATACCTCCACTTCTCAACGACAGGCTCCGATGTCCAACTTACACGAGAATAGCGCGTAGCATAACCGCCCATCGCAACAGTCCTTGGAGGTCTTGCATTCGTCGCCGTGACGTGCACAGTGCTTGCCGAATTGTGTTTCATCGCTGTTCATGAGGTTCGGTGAAATGGGTGGGGAGATGTCGTCTGTCTCGATGATCACAAGTCTGATGAAGAGTGCGGCTGAGACGCCGAGGGTTAGGCTAAGTATCGCGACGGAAAAGGGGAGGAGGAGCGTCATAGTGTTGTGGGACTTGGGTTTTCGAAAGAAGGTACTTGGGCTGTTCTTTGGAGAAGAAGAATGGGGGAGAGTGAAGACCAAGTGGATGTTTATAAACTGCCCGGCGGATGATGATACGCTTTCTCTCTATATGTATCTTGTTGGTATGTGGATACTGCACGTCACTTAGTCCTCACGCTGGGGGGTCTGGAACTAACCTATGCGATTATATTTCCTCTATGACAAGATAAATTAACCTCCCTTCATTTGGTTTTTAATCAGCCGACCATCTATTGCCCTATATCCCTCTATCACCTCCACCCACTAAGACACCAAGGATCTGAATAGCCACCGCCCCCAGCCAACGTCCTAGGTGTCCCTAAGCCGAGACCTACCTCAATCCGGAGGTCTACTCATGCAGAGAGTGTAGTGGAACGTATCCCACAGAAGAAGCCCAGGAGCGCCGAACAACCATGCATATGCATATCTTTGAGTTCTGTGATACCTTTGTTCCTGTGCCCTACGTGATCGATCGAACTATGCGGCTTGTCGTTGATCTGTGCCTTTCATCCCTTCTCTTAGATACCAGCAGCGGCGGCGCTACAATTACCTTTAGTGCTCAAAGTTACCCCGTAGGTGTGGTGGTATAGCTGGATTTATCTCTCAAGGCTTGTTTGTGATGTTACACCCAGATATGTCCCTTCATTCAGAAAGGTCCCCCTAAACGCGGGAACATCGTAATGGCTTGGATCCGGGCAGGAGATTATGCTCCAATCTTTTGGAGTATTGGAATATAGTAGCGTGTAATTTGTGAACATGTTCGAATACTTCAAAGCCTTCATTGCCTTGCAAAGCGTTTTCTTTTGTTCTTGTGATTGGTTCCAATAACCATGGATACCGCTATCTATGTTGAATCATCGAATAGAGACCCCGCAAAAAGTATGATATCCGTTCTTTTTTACTTCTGAGTTGTTTTGTTAGTATATCTCCATCTTTCCAGGTAACCGATTCTGCGCAATGGGGACCTATCCTTGTCTGACTAAATATACTCGGGAGTCCTGAACCTGAACACCCAAAATACCCGGGAGATATGAATACTGCTCATATACGGTGGGATATTGCACATACTAGCGTCAACCGCACATCGCCCTAGTTGTTATCTTTCCATATGAGTTTGATTCTGTTCATTCCTATGACATTGAGGAGGCTAATGTAACCTCCCTACTTTTGCATCACACATCCCGGAGACTTGGTACCTTCAACCCAGGGGCATCTAGGGGTATTGAACTACCAGAGTCTGCATTCTAAACTCAATTCGAATCTGTTGTGGCTGGACCCGTGCCAGAACCTTATGCCTAACGTGTGCTCACCTAATCCAACCATACCTGGATTCTGTATATCAACCATTCTGATAGGCATCCAGCGCTCTTTCGGGGGTGTCCTGATTAGATTCACCTCCTTCCGCAGGTTTCAAGGCCCAATCATGATCGCGCATTTTCGAAAATAGGAACTGGGTAACACAAGGCAGCATATCTTAGACTTCGCCCCTTGAGGGTAAGCATAAGGTTTAAAACATCCTTTGGAAAATATAATATCACTGTAACTAGACGCCAATTGAAGATTGTATCAAGCCGGGGACAGGGTAGCTGTACGGAAGCTCCGCACCTTAAAGCTGTGTGCTTCATAAATATAGTTTCCGGCAGCCTTCCGGTTGTTATGCTGTATTCTTGACAGTATCCATTTCCTATCCCCAGCTAAAGGTTAAAGAGATATATTTGCGCATTAGACTAAGCCTTTTTCTTCATATCGGTGTACGCGTGATGGTCAATCTCCTGTGGCGCGCGAGATCTCTCCTCGGGCGCCGACATTGAGATAGGTAGATGGCCGGTTAGACTTTGTCCTACTTTAAAGATCGGAGAGACCACCATGATCCATCTCGTTGTGGTCAGGAGATATGACATACCGAGTATGATCCTAGATCATTATTGAAGCTATTAGTATGGGGATATGGGACAAAGAAAAAAAGACACATAAAAATTCTACCTCTTGCGTCAGTGATACCACACGAGAGAGATTGTTCTTGTCCGTCAAGATGAGAGTATATTGATCCTTCAACTCCATTCCAATATCAGTGTGATAGTGATCTTTGCAGTATCGTCCCCCCTCGGTGATCCTACAAAAGATCGGCTGGTGAAGTAACATCTAGGTGTGTCTCGAGACCCTCAAACGACCGCTAAGGCTTGATCCCTTGCCTGAGATGTTCGGATATGCTTCCACATTAGCCATATCAGTAAACCTTGCAATTGAGCGTCTCGGTTGATTGATACTCCTGTATTGAAAATCAGCCTAGCCCTGCATTGCAGACAAAGTAGCTCAATCTTACTCACACTTCCCCTCATCTCCGCTCAAGTAGTCTCGACAACCCGCCTTGCTCTGGGGTATAAGATTACTCTACCTCACCACTCATTAGGTTAACAACTCCCTCCAAGCTCCTCAACTTCTCAGAGCCCGTCCTCAACCACTACTCCGCAAAGTGCAATTCTCCGCCCTACTTCTCCTTCTCTTCACCGGCCTCGTTGCAGCTAGTCTCGAGATGACTCTGTCGATCGATGATGAAGTCTACAATTTCAGAGTCCAGCTTGAATCCCAGGTACGCTGTGGAAAGCGTGGGGACCCATGTATAAGCAACTTGAGCTGCTGTAAGGGCCGGATGTGCTTTGCTCCTCTTCCTTGTGGGTCGACTGAGGCTGGGAAGTGTCTTTAAGTGAGGTATGTAGCCTCCGAAACGGCAGCAATGGCCTACAGAAAGCTTGTTTCTATATGCTGGTGGCGGTGGTTAGCGGTTGATAGGTGCGGAGGTGGGGTGAGGGAAGGGGTTGGTAATGTGTACTGTCTTTAGTTCTTGCGCGAGTGTAGTGTTTACCGGAATCAAGAAAAATGGCAATTCCCATATTTTTGTGATAGAACTTGACGTGATGCAGTGATAGGTCTGATGGTTTGGAGGGGGATGATCGAAATGTTTGCAAAACCCATTCACAACCCACTTGACCATATACCGGGGACATTCGTGATTCCTATCAGTGGGCCGATGCTTTCGACACCCCACAAACCTGCCTGATGTGGCTAGTCCAATGAAGGCATTTAATCAATCAAGCCCAGGTCCTTTGTGATAGCAGCTATTCGGGAATAAGTTAGTAGATGAAGAAACTCTCCCAAATAAACAAACCCAAAATATAAAACAAAACCATACCAATCAAGCTCATAAGACCAAGCCTTGAGATACCTGGTGCTCTCAACCGGTGAAGTTGGAGCTTTGGAAGCGGTCGAAAAGACCAGAGGAGCCCAGAACCACCGAAAGGGATTTGTACCCTGGTCCGTGGGAGAGGAAGAGGGAGCGAGGCCGATGATGGAGGGTGGATGTGGGTAGATGCGATGAGACCACATGTCGCTTCCATACGTTTTGTGCTCCTCTTTAGCATGAACTCTCCGAAAATTACAACTACCGACGTCGGTGGTGGGAGCAGTGGACGTTGCATGCAGGGATGGTAGGCGCTCTTGGCACGTCCGCATCATGAGTTATCACCCGCTCATGAGATTGCACTCGATATTGGCGCCCAGCCAAACCACTTGATGTCAAGCGACTAGGTGTGCGGACCCCCAATACCTTTACCTCGATCACCACTGGAATATCATGTTTTATGAAAATACCGATCTGATATTACCTCTGCTCAAGGTACTCTCTGGTCCAAGTAAGTCACATCGAGTATTCACGGTCAAAGCTAGGGTGGTGGTGTGGGGTTAGGGAATGTTCCAGTGGAGCTCTTCACTCGATGCCATAGATGGCAGGCATCAAGCGAGATATCCTAAACTACCTGTGTACAGACATTCAGCTACGCCATATCGTTAGATTCTGGACGTGATCATATAGTCGAGGTTAGGCTTCTGCAAACGACTGAATCTACCCTCGGTAACTCTTGGGCGGTAGGCAATGAAGCAAGGGGCTCTTCATCTGCTACCGGTAGCTATTTATGTGGGTGTGTGTTGTCGCGAGGTGTCTTCGGGCGTGCGTTTCCGAATTCACCACGAGAGCATTCCTTTAATAGTTAAATTCAGGCTATGTTTCTTTGTAAGAGACCCACAAAGAGTGAAGTCGTCTTTCGAATGCATTGCTTAGATTTTAGATGCACTGCTTCTACTCCCATCATCTTGATAGTAGTATCCGTAGATATCACGATCAAAGTATTTCGGTGAATTCCTGTCCGTAGTCTGATTCTCCTACCATGTCACAACCCCCGTGATTGGAATTGGAGAGAACATTTTCTCTACAACCCAGCGAAAACTAGAATTCCCCGTACCACAAAAGACACACCCGGAGGTACATATTCGTGACCGTCTGCAAACCATACCAGACGAAAAGAAATGACTAGAAAGAAAGGTAGCATTGATGCAATGTGTAAGTACAAAGTAGGAATAAGTTAATTCATTTCTCGCACAGGAATATCAGCGCCAGTAAGCTTTGGTAATAAGATGTGTACACCTCCAGTAATAATAATCCCCCCTTTGATCCACCACATCTCATGCCCACCCCCTTCCAAATTTCGATAGTGAGCACTGCTCGCTCTCATCACGGTACCCCAGGCATTTGAACACCCCCCTATCCCCCCCTCTGCACCTCCACTGGAAAAACCATATTTGCCAACGCCCTCCCCACCACCACATCCATCTCCACCCTCTTCCCCCCCGGCCCCCTCATCCCCCCCTCCCCCCTCCCCACCAACATCCCCGGCACCCACCCCGCCCACACATTCCTCACCAACACCCTATTCCTCAACACCGTATACCAATAAGGCTCAGGGATAAGCCGTAGCCTAATCATCTCACTCTCATACTCCAGATACCGGTCCTTGTAGCGCATCCACGCGTCGAGTAACGGCTGATAGATAGCGGTATTGGTATACGGCGCGCGCTTGAGCGCATAGTCCAGGCACAGCAGCGCGTCGTGGAGGCGCTCGTAGTTGCGGCGTACCGCGTGGGTCGACAGAGCGAGGTTGAGGTTTGTGAGGTGGCGGGCGTCGCGGGGTGTGAGGCCAGGGGCGGGGAGGATCACGACCATCAATGGTTGTATGGTGGTGGGTGGAGCTTGAGCGTTCGAAGAAGATGAGGGGGGGTCGAGAATCATTGGGTCCCCACGTGAACTAGAAGGTGCGCAAAGCTCTGCCCCAGACCTGGAAGGAATCCCCGAGTTGTCGACGCTCGCAGACAGCTCGTGAATATCGGATATAGCAGGGACTGCAGGATTAAGAATCTGCGCAATTGAACATTTGAGATTTCTGCTTGCAGCAGATGTATCGTTGCCAGCGGGGGATTGTGTTACGGAGATGGGCGGGAGGCGGGCGTTGGCGGGGTCCGTGTATCTGGAAGTGGACATGATGTCGGAGATGTGTGGGAGGCGGGTGTTGCTGGGGTTCATATACCCGGAAGTGGACATGATGGCGGCTTGAGGCTTTTAGGTAAATGTGAGAAAAGTGGAATGGGGGTTATCTTTACGTCCTTGCGGTCCTGTAGGGTGTGGCGGATAATGAAAAGGTGGTTTGGTAACTTTGGTCGAGGGTTATGGAGGTGGAAGGTGAGGCTATTGCAGTGGTTGTCGCCAGGTCGGAGGGGGCTCTTGATTGATCTACGGGAAACACGGCCTTGGAACTACCACGATATTTGGGGACGCGAAGCCACACATGTACGATCCTTGTACTGCTACCTCAGTGTTTTCTTGAATCTTGTTAAACCCACTGCTTTGCTTGCTGCAAAGCATGGACATAAAGAACGAGTGGCAAAAGACTTACGTGATGAGTATCATCCCTCAAGAGCGTCGCTACCATGTTGGGCATTCTTCATCTCTGCTTCCACCCCGGGTCGAACCGGTGGTGTCATGCAACGTAGTAGAGGCTGTTACGCCTCGACCACGCTACGGTGCTGTCAATGTGGCTTGAGTGGTATATACACCACTGGACAGCTCATGTGCTTGATAGGAGTAACATCACATGCAGTGACTGACTGACAATAGTACTACGACAGCCGGAAATTTCCATTTCACTTAAGTAATCCTTCACAAACAAGAGAACAGCACCGGCACAAAACGAATCTATTCTCTGCCTATTCCATCCTGCACATGTTCCGTGCACGCAGCGGGGAAGCGAGCACCACAGATGTCAAATGCAATTCATGCCAGCAATCAAAGACGCCGAACCTCCCCTACTAGGGGGAGGGGCCAGGTGCGCGGATCCTAGAGTGTGGTAGCTACATTCGACGCTGCCCACAACTCACCAATGAAAACAACGGACAGAAAAATACATTCTCAACCTAGGGTGCTAGCTACCCAGCCGGAAAACATAACTCAGACAATCGAAGGCATACCAGCACTTGAATGCACTGGATACGCTCTGAAGAGGGTCACGAGCTTCACAGCTGGGGAAAACCAAAAGATAATGAAAGGAAATGGTGAGAAAGGAAATGTTAATGCTACTATTTCCTCCCCCAACTCGGTTGCCACACTCCTCCAGCCTTTCCTCTTGAATAAGCTTCCCGTATGATGGAGACACACGATGCGTTCGATGAGGTTGACGAGATGCCTACGGAAGGGGAAGCACCACTTATATGGTCTGTGGGGGGTGGTTAGTTACCAATGTGACAGAGATGAGATTGCGGAGACTCACGTGGCTTGGATTTATTACGAACTATTAACAAACATAAAAGTGAAGTGTGATGGAGGGAGTGGCGCGGGAGGGGTATCCTACTATCTCAGAAGGACAAATTAGAACAAGTGGAGATTGATTATGGGAAAGAGGTTGACCCATAATGCGTACCACTGCCGCAGCACCTTCAGGAGAAGTAATATTACTGCTGGTAAACGATAGCCGGCGTGGCTGTACACAATTAGAAAGCGAGGAATGGACAAGATCAATAGCCATCTCTATCCGGAAGGGGGTTAGAACACGAAGGAGAGAGCTGACGTTATAGTGACTTACTGATAATCGGCTATAGATCATTAGATCGGCGAAGAAGGAACTTTACAGAGATTTCTCTCCACCCGCACATGAAGCCGGATCTCGAACGTGAGAAGTGTGTGCGTATTATTATACTTCGATTGCAATTGGGCCTTGAAGAGAACTTAGTAATTATTGCAAGAGGTTCAAAGAGATGCAACGCTTACTGCTGACCCAGGGACCTGCTATAGAAGTTGCACAAGCACTATTTCAGTGGCAAACGACAATAGTAGCCACGTTTCTCAATATCTGAAGGTACCGCGTAATTCCGCTTGTAAAGAATATCAGAAAGGTATTAAAACAAGAGTCTTGGGTGAGACGTGAGACTTACTAATGGTATTGCTGCTGCAAATTCTTGCCTAGCCCAGAGGAAGAACGATAAAGACTGCTAAGGCTGGACTTATTTTTTTCTGCTTTTTTCTTTTTTCGTTTAATTGATTAGTTGCGTGCAGCCTTACGGCTATGGCAATGGCTGGACTTAGGCCGGCCGCGCCAGAGGTCTAATGAAAACGTTAAAAATGAGAGGTGAAGAAGGGAGAAAAGCCACAGAACCTACAGTTGCTGTAACCTCAGAGAATTTAACTCCCGGTCGGGAGGACGTCCGAGATATAACCGGACCAAAGAAAACATCATTCCGCTGTATGGAGGCCAGCCAGGTATTGGCTATACTAGTTGTGTATCCGGGGAGGCACGGCAGATGAGAATTCAGTATGTGGAAACCTAAATCCAGCAGTGCCTGCACGCCCTTTTTACACAGGGCGCCACCCGCTAATAAAAAAAAGGGTTGAGGTCCAAAGGTTCTCCTATTACTTCTATTAGAGCACAAAATTAGAAGACAGTGAACACTGAGAACAAAGCTACAAACGAAGACTTACATCAAGTCTGCTGGAAGTAGCAGAGACATTGAAGAACTATCTCGAATAGACCTGACCATTCACAAACATAATCGAACTTGTTCATGCCACAGACTATAGCAGCAGAATATTAGAAACTTGCAAATAGAAAACGATAGTATCACAATTAAAAACTTACCTCAACCTCTCACAGTAGAAGATCGCTAGGCAGTTATAGAGAACAATCCGTCAAGAGGAGTTTCGACTCAATACTGCAGGAAGGGCTGTACCCCAGAAAAGGCTATAGGAGATGGCGATGTGAAGAGGCCCGGTAAGTGATAAAAAGAGGGGCTGAGAGATTGATAAAGAGGGGAAGACTGGTTTTTTTTTTTTTTTTTTTTTTTTTTGCGTGCTAGTTGGAGGGAAAGTGTTGATATCACATCCCAGCGGTGGACTTCTATAAGAGGGCTGAGGGTATGAGAAGGGGAACGAGAATAAAGAGGAAGAAGCAGAGGAGGAGGTGAGGGGGGGGGGGGGGTTATATAAATAGACGTGTGGGCTAGGGTTCTGAGATATAAGATGATGGGACACATCTGCAGTTGGAGGAGGACACATAAGAGGACATGTAAAAGGACACGGATGCGAAAGGTCACTTGTTAGAAGCCACATTTCAGAGGACAGCACCTCGTGGGAGAGTATTACGGGAGAGTGTAACTTTGAGCTTTCGTACCTGTTAGAGTTAAAGTTCATGAATCGGCATAGTGACGCGTCATAAGCGTTATAAGCCACAGAGTACAAGGTTTTGGAGGAAACATGGGTAGCCGGAGGTGCACCCATAACATATAAAAATCACCTCTCTGATGGGTACGACTAACACCCAGTCACCACGGCACATTGGCTTTCGCCTCAGAGAAATGTTTGAGCATTCGCCATCCGGGTGGCGATATTCAGAGATGGAACTCCCCATTCCCACGTGCACAGTGGCTTCTATCATGAAGTATGCAATACCTACATGTACACTCCCGAGCGAACTAAATACAAATACAAAAACACCCAACCAAAAACATACCCAAAACCCCCATTCTGTGCCGGGAACGCACACATATCTCTCCCATGAGCATACAGCCACCACCAAAGCCACCACCGAAGACAAGCAAAACCCCCACCACTGCTGGCCCACGCATCCAGCGCCAAACCCACCGCCATTGACCTCCCCCTCCGTCTCCTGAAGCAGGAAAACCACAACCACACCACCCGCTCGCCCCAAAGCTCCCGAAAAGAGGCGTGGAAGCGAGATGCATAAAATTCCCACATCGGTCCCCTCAGCGTGATGCGGGTAGTGACGTTGACATCCGCGGGCTTATCTGATCCCATCTTATCTCCCATCTTATCTCCCCATCTTATCTCCCCTCGTGGTGTAAATCATCATCTCATCTTATCTCACTTCATCTTATCTTATCTCATCTAGCCTCAATCTAACCCCCGGCGAGTGTGATTGGTGCACTGGCCTCGATGTGAGTGGGGGGTATTCAACACCGCTACCTCGAGTATGTGTGGGTGCTATGACAGCCAACGAACGATAAACACACGGCGAAAATAAACACGCAAAATTTTTCTCGTGTCTGCGGGCTGCTCTTCACATGCGTGCATTACCTGGGCGCGTGAAGATACTCTCCGGTTGCGAATACTGGAATTAGGCCGGGCTTGTGACTGACTGCTGGGAGGAGGTTGTTAGTTAGGCGAGGGTCTGGCTGGCTGGGGGTTAGGCGAAAGTTTAATTGCCTTCTTGTTTTTTGTTCTCAGCCAATGAAGGGTTTACATACTGGTGATCGCGTCGGCTGTGGGCACTGCGTAGGGAGGTAGGCTTAAAGGTGTGAGTTATATGGGTGTGGGTTAGGGTTGTGGGAACTAATGCCGTCGTAGAGGCTTTTTCATCTTTGCACGAATACGTTTAGAGAGTGCGTGTATGGCTTTCTATGTCTGTACTACAAAACCGGCTATGAAATGAATAAATACATAAATGTAGAGAACAACAGCTATCCAAAAGCGCAAGCCTGTAACCAAAAGCCACAGGCCAATTGCGCGCCCCTTTCCGCCCCACACCCACAATTAAGGAAGAAACATTCGGCATAGAAAAACAAGCGGAACATAAAACGCTCCCAATTTCGGGGCAGAGCAGCCTCCTCCCTCCTCCATTTTCTTCCCGGCCGTTCATCGCGATGTCATTGCGTGTTTCGACAAGAAACACTGGCTAAAGCAAGCACTCGGGCCCTTCCCGCTCGCACGCGCGCGCGCGCCCGTTGTTGACAGACATATGTATATAAGTGCAAGTAGACATGCCGACCGACCGACCGACCGACAGCGCGATGCTCCCGGGACGCACACGCACACGCACGCTCGCTATCGGATCGAGCGCGGCCGCCGAGCGCGGGATGTGATGTGATGTGTATGCATGATCACGTCTAAATGCTCCTGCATCGGTAATTGCGGGGCGCTCTCCTAACGTCCGTCGGGCGCTGTTCTAGAGGGTCTTCTGCAGGTAGTGTCAGGGGTAGATTTGGGGCCTACCTATGTTGGTGATGGGATGATCGGCGGAAGCAACAGATACAGGCTTCTCTGCGGTGTGCAAGGATGGAAGGGCATGGCTAGCTGAAACCGCAGCTGCTGTCTGAGAGTGAGTCCCGGGCGAATCAGCGTGTGTGGATCGATGGGTTATCTTATCTTCAGCCCCAACGGCATGCCTTATCGGGCGTGTGTTGCCGCGACGACCACTCTAACCCAAGCCATAGCGGGAGTAGAGCCCGTCCCCATGTTTATTGTTTGGGGAGAGTGGGAGGCGTGCTGAAGAACCTGTTGGTTGGAAAAAAGCCCGGTCTCGACGGGGCAATTAAGGTTGCGTGCGATAAACGCATTCCGGTCAACGTCTAGAACCCGTCGGTCGCAGCGAGGTGACGGTTATGCAGGTTTCGTCACAATTGTTCTGGTACTGGGAGTGCATAACCCCACAAACACCGCGGTCAACGGTTGGAGTGTCACGGGTTGGGGGTGTGTCTGGACGAGGGTCGCCTGTTGGGGATGGTGGTGGAGGGAGGGATTTCGGATGGTGGATGATGGATGAGACAGCAACAGAGCGCGGTTCTGGGAGGATGTCACAGCACATTGTGGGACCTGCATGCGTGCAACAAACAGAACAGAACAGAACAATCCGATTGTTGTGTTTCTTGTGCAAACATGTAATGAGGTGCTGAGGACAGTAATGTGTTTATTTCAATTGGCGAGGCGAAAACCACATTCCAATCGGCCTTGCACCCTCTTCCGATTGGCTCTGTTCTCTAGCACTGCGCGCGTCACTCTGCACTGCAACCGGTCATTAAGTAAGATCTAAGGCGTGCTCCAATATAAGATCGCCGCGTTATGGTTATCGCTATCGATTCGCAGTGCACCACAGCAGTGTCACACACACACCACAGCCCATCACCCATCACCCACAACCACTCTCCTCCTCAGTGGAATGTAAAGTAAGTTCCTAGTGCAGCGTGTTTCTTTTTCCTAGGATTTCAGCACCCCTGACGATCCTCCTCCCCTCCAACCGTTCATCCGATCATTTCCACCATCACACACTAGGCTCACACACACCCACACCCTTCACACCCTTCGCCCACACCACACACACCGTGCCACCAACAGACTTCCTCACCACACACACACACACACACACACCAGACAGCCCGCGTCCCACCACACAAACGCACGAGCCCCACACCTCACTCTCACTCTCCCCCGGCCCCTTTCGCCACCCCTTTCACCACTACAATGTGAGTAAGAAGAACCACCCCATTGCATTAAAAGGAGCCCCATCGCCCCCCCTCGACCCCGCCTCTGCTTATAATCAAATATCACCCATCGCTCAATCCATCCACTACCTACACTCACCTCACGATACCCTAACGAGAACCATGTCTTCAACTACCTCCTCTTCATCATCCTCAGCAGCGACTTACGAGCACACCCACTCACAGTCACAGACCCCCGAGCAGCTCGCGCTCTCACGGACCTCACAGATGCCCGCCGTCCGCTATGAGATCCCCGGGTGGGCGGATTGTAAATACTCAAACAGGGTATGTCTTGACACCTTCCCCGCCGTATCGGAAATCTAGAATTGGAAACTAACGAAACGAAACGAACAGAATATCCAAGCCTGCATCCTCCACGCCCTGCCCTTCCTTGCGCCCGGCTCCAACGAGCTCGCCGCGTCGACGGGGAAGTGCTTCCACTGCTGGGCGCTGCTCACGTCAATGGAGTATGCGGTGCTGAGTGTCATCTTTGTTTGTAAGTCTCTCTTTCCGCGCTTCGGGGGTGAGATGTTGTGTTGGGGGGGGGGGGGGCGGGGAGAGACGATGGAAGGGGATTGGGGCTAATATGGAGTCGGCAAATAGTAAACTCAATCGGCTTCGCCGTCAGCTTCGTCCGGTACATCATCAACATGTTCTTCTCCTGCAAATAGGTCTCGCCAGCTAGCTGGATGCGTGCATTACATACAATACAGGCACGGAGGGGGGATCATGCGGAGTACAGTAATATCATTAATCAAGGTAAAAATCTATGGGTACGGTGGTGTGGCTTTTTGATCTTTGCTTTTCGTTGCGTTTTCTTTTTTGCTGCGTGCGTTTGTGGAGGTAGAGGCGGTACAGGGGGAAGCATGGAGGGAAGAGGGGGGGGGGGGGTTAATGTGTAATTACTACTAGCTTGCTAGCTGGCTGCCTGCAGTGGTAGGCTGGATGTCGCTCTTTTTATGGGGTTTCTTTTGTGGTTTTTCTCTTTGTGGTGTTTCTGTATTTTTTATCATGAGTGCGACGAATTTACGGCTTTTAACAATTACGGTGTGGGTGGTTCGGGGTTTTGTGCGGCGTGATTGTGGCGGGGAGTGGCGAGGGTGGTGGTTCTGGCAGTGAGGGCCGGGAGTGGTGGCAAAATCCTGTTTTCGGGCGTGACGTAGTGCAGGTCTCTGCTGGGGACGCTACACTCCTTGAACCTGGTTTTGGATGATGTTTAATTACGATGAATACCCGGGTTTGGGCCTGTGACAGACGCAGCTTTGATTGCCATGACGAAACGGTTTCGTTAGTGTCATGTCATAGCGTAAACGGTTCTGGCCACATGTATGTGTGGCGGATGCGCTAGACCCCCGGGGGCTGCGTGTGTTAATTCTATAGCTGGTGGATACGAGGTATTCGTGATCGTGATAGCTAGCGCTGGGATGGTGGAAAGTTTAATTTTTTAGTTTGGGCTAGCTACTTAGATTGTTTGGCCATGGACGCTTGCTATTAGGCGCGAAACAGTCTACTAAGCACTAGTCTTAGAACCTTTCTACAGTTTAAGCTCTTGGATTTATTCTTGGAATAAGGATTTATATAGTGCCAGTGCTTAGTTCTGTTTCTCGACCACATACATACTCCCACTCTTCGTATCGCTCATTCAGGCATGGATAGACATTTTGCTCTTCTCTGGACATGGTGGGCGTAGCCAGAGGAAGGGGGTAAGAACTATTCCAGTTACCAAAAACAGCACATGGAGGGATAAAACTAATGTATGTCAACATGCTGCAACTAACGAGTCAATCATTGAGGCCCAGACCTAAGATATCATGTCGTTGGTGAATATTAACATCGAGAGTTGAGTTATATGTTGTTGCCAAGACCCCCGAAGATCAAGCTAGTGCTGATTGATGTCTTGAACGTCAATCGTGGTTGGAATAGTAGCAAGGGGTTTTTATTCAGCCTAGAAAAAGATAAACTTACTCATTTGGCGACGATGCCTCTTGCGCGTCTGTGGGTTGTGTTTGTTGCGTTTTTGTCTTGCTATGGAGTTCTATCCTGTAATTGGTTCAAATCCGTGCGTGTCCTTAGAGGGGCTCTTTCTTCGAACCATACGGGAGTGTGTATATAGAGTCCGCAATAGTGCGGTGAATTTGATACTTGTCGAGTCGAGAGTGGTAAACTGTACCATGCCACTGTCTACGTTTCTATATCTACATCGCTAAGATCTCGAAATAGTTAGCAACAACTAACGTCTCAAGGTGTTGAACAATCGTTGGAACAGTAGCAAAGAATTTTGTTTTTACCATCGCAGAGGATATATGTCATTTTAGCTGCACATATACAACAACAACATAGTAGCGCCTCGAACGTGCATTCTGTGGAAATGAGGCCCATAGCCCGCAGTATGTCGCTGCACTTCGTGCATTGCCAAGACCCCCGATCAAGTAGTGAGCTGTAACGTATCAGAGTGTTTAGGTCTAATAATAGTTGGAATAGTAACCAAGTAATCTTTCAGTCTCTAATCTCGCCTTATCTAACAACTTGACCCCGCGGCGGATACCGTAAAGCGTGAATGGTTTCCCTGGGATATATTAGGGCTTGTAAGCATTGCCAAGACTTCGGATATAGTTAGTCGTGAACAACATATTGAGGTGTTTAACAATAATTGTTATTAGTAACAAAGCTTTCTTTGATCCATGTTCGAGAAAGATAACTATAACATAATTGTTGGTCTATAAATTGATGTGTTGGCGCTCTGAGTTCCCGAGCAAGTGTAATCTAGAGCCTACACTTCTTTCATAGATAAAAAAGAAAGTAGAAGAAGCGGACACGAAACTTAGCTATAATACTAGATGGCCTTGTCATTACTTCTATTTTAGCCGTGTGTTATGCACATAACCCGAGTATAACCAGGCAGTACGGCGAACCAGTATCTAGTCCCGAATTTCTTGACGTAAACTGAGACCTCCGCCGAGTAACCATTCCAGGAGTGCTTAAGTCTATGACGACAAGACTAGTATCCCAGCGCCTCGGAAGGCAAGGCCGGAAATGATATAAAGATATCCTTGTATTGTCTCGGAACAATAGCGTATCATTTTCTAGATCAATGCTTGACCGCGGCACAGCGGTTGCGAAGTAAATCCCGGAGATTAGGGTAACCTAGCAAGCACTCCTTCGCCATTATTGTGCAGGCTGGCTCGAAATCTGTAGGCGGTACTGTAGGCTGGCGGGGTAAATATAGTTCCGTGGCCTATTGTAGAATCTTCCCTGGCACCTATAGAGGTGCGTTGTCTAGTGCACATTCTTGCTGGTTCTAGTGCACATTCCTGCTGGTACAAGGACAAAACGTTTTCTGCAAGGCTGGCATATCAGGTTCTCGCAACTATCCCAAGTGTCATGGAAGTTTACTTCATAACGTAATGTATCCGGAATGTTCCCGAATGCTAGATGTACTGTGCAGGGCTGAGGCAGATAGTTAGCACTAATGTGTTTCTATGTTATTTTATCTTAATCATCTTCTCCAGACCGGCCTACCGTAGATGCATAAATTTATTTTGATCGAACAGAACATCAGGGACTCTTCCCTGGAATATAATAAGTGTCTTGATATTATCTGATAGCTTAGATACAAGAATTAGGTGAGTCAGTAGTACCTTCGATTGGTTGATTTTGACACTGCTGCATTCCACTTAAGTCCTTCTCCGGCTGTAACGCAGCTCCAAATTACCGCACCAGTACACTCCGGGAATAGGGGCTCCGTATGATATGTCGAACAGTGAGCTGGATGCATAGACCAGCGAATTCGAGCTGATGGTTGACACAGATAAGGTAACGCTGTTGGTGTTCTTGACCATCCGGGAGTGTAAAGAGTGTAATTGGGTAGTTTTCAGTAGGTTCGGAGCGGTATTCTATCGGTAGTCGATAGTCAAAAGTGTGTTTTAAGGTCGTTAAATCCATGTATCCAATGGAAGTGGGTGAAAAGAAAGGGAATGCATAAAGTTGAGAATGGAAGGACAGGGTGTCGTTGTCGTCCAGTAGCACTGTATTCTCAATCTCACTAGCCTTATACGGTTAGGTCAGGCAATGCCGGAGGACAAGCAGCGAAGTAGAGGGCAGACATAAATAACCAAACAACCATAACGCCCGTATAGTGGTGATTCATCAATCAATCGCGCTTCGAGCACCCTCTATAACCAAATCAACATCATGGCCCAAAGTGTTCGTTCTGAAAGCAGAATTGAGCCCGCATAACGCCGGCTTCAGTATTCCAATAGGATCAAGATCCTCTACGTTAGAGTCTTGAACATTCGCCAGTTTCTTCACCTCTGGTTCTCTACCCCTAATCATTGAAAATGTCAGGAGAGCAAGGTACTTAGCTATAGATATCTAGAGGATCAAGTAGCACTCTCCCAAGATAGGAGGGGAGGATAGAAAGTAATGTGTTGAACTCCAGCACGTCGGGGGTGATTACTGATGAGGGCTCACTTCCGACTTGACACAGAAAGAAGGCACCACCACTTCAGTAGGTGAGAATGGTCATTATCCAAGCACGTGCTGACGTAGATTTGGCAGAAAACAATAATAGTTTTGACTATTGCTCTGGACATGTAACCACAAAGTGCCTGCATTTCGCCCCATTTCGTCGCCAAACTACAAAACTATGAGCCGGAAAGAGCGAGCCAATGAAACAAATCGGAAGACGGCTGACCATGCAAGAAGGAAATAAATCTCGGCGACATGGGGATAGATGGAGAATTGAGAAGATATGGGAGAATCATATCGGGTACAAATATTTAAATTTGAAAGCCTAAGATGTCGTTGGTTCCAGCTCCAAGAATATTGGACCCCGATTCTCCGGAAATCATATTTCCTTCACCTCCGAGCATGCCTATCGGCCCCGAACAACCACCCGCGGCGTGGCATACAAGGTTAGAGAAAGGGATTGTGACAGATGCATACCATTCAGTAGCACCTAGGAAGGGGGGCTCTCAGAGATACCGTGGCGTATTAAGCCGGGGCTCCTTTCACCAGCCCGGGAGTGTGGGGAGTGGGAGCGAATGGGGTCACGGACTGTCACTCGCTTCTGCGAGTCGTTTCCTGTACGGTAGTAAGGGGTCTTTTGCCCAATCCGTCCCCCCCCCCCCCCCCCCCCCCCCGGGGTTTGTCTTGTTTCGTAGAACTAGGTTCTTCATTCCCCACAATTCCGTTGATCTACTCTCCAGGAGTAACTCTTACCCCGGAGTATACACATCTACCTTTGAGTGACAACAACTAGCTGCCTGTGGTGTCGTGTGCCAACAAAAGGTTCCTAGATAGTATTATATATATAACAAGAGTTATCTCCGGTTTAGCCATACTTTATCTTGTCAACATATACATCATCTGGCTAGATGTGTCCGTGTCGTCGTATCCTCTGTAAAAGCAACACTTGGGAGGGGCATCCGCAAAACTTTAACGAGCAGTGAGCTTATCTTATTTTAGACTGGCATTCTTCCGTGATGTCTCTAGGAATATCGGTAGTGATTTCCAATACTTTCACTCGCTCAGAATTGTAACTTCCAACTTAGAGGTGAGTTATAGATGGGAACCGGCTGCTTCATTGATTATCACTCGGGTATCGAGGCAAGGAATCTTTTTTTCTTTTTTCTCTTTTTTTAATTCATTAATAATAAAGCAACAGAGTAAG